ATGAATTGACGGGAAGATAAAAACATAGATGTATAGATGTATAAGTGAATGAGTATGTGGATATAGGGATGAATAGATGGATGGATGGATGACTGAGTAAACCAATGAACGAGTGAATGAACTGAACAGCAAATAAATGAATAAGTGACATAACATTTCAATCAGTGAAAAAAGCAATGATTGAATGAATGACTAACCGAATGAATAATTTAACAAATTAACTGGTCAATGAGCCATGAATGAATGAATCAATACTTAAGTGATAAACATGAATGAATGAGTAAATAAATGAATTGGTGAATGTAAGAATGGCTTGTAGAACCCACTCATCCACTTGTCCATAAACCCTACTTGGACCCCTTACCCACTCCCTCTGCGACCATCAAACACACATACAGAGGTTCCCTCAACACTCTTCCTGTCTCTTGCCCTTATGCTTTGGTTGGTAGGTAAGTAGGTCAATGGTTCAATCACCCTATTTTTCCCACAGGCCCAGCAGCTGGCCCCCTGTCCCTGGGGCTAGTAACAGTGGACATCCAAAACCCGGACATCACAAGTTCACGATACCGTGGGCTTCCAGTACCTGGGCCTGGCCCAGCTGATAAGAAACGCTCAGGGAAGAAAAAGATCAGCAAGGCTGACATTGGTGCACCCAGTGGATTCAAGTGAGAACCTCACTCCACTGGTCCCACAGATCCCTGTGGGAGGGGTGGATGAAAAGGTGGACAGCAAGAGAGCTGAGTGGGTGGAAGGATGGGCACATGGGTGTGTGGGTGGTTGGATGTAAGGCCAGGACTAGGGAGAGGCAAGTGAGGCACCAAGGATGCAAAATTTACAGAGGTGGTTACTCTAAGGGTCATGCAACTGCAACTCATGACTCTGAGAGTGAGGGCCCCGTTAAATTTTACACCTTAGGCACTTCACATGCTTAGCCTTAGTCCCACCCTGGGTGGGCTGGTGGGTGAATGGATGGGTGGGTAGATGGATAAATGGATGGATGGATGGATGGGTGGGTGAATGGCTAAATGGGAAGTGGGTAGGCAGATAGATGGGTGAGTGGATGAGTGTGTGGAGGACAGATGGATGGTTCACAGACAAGGTGGATGGGGATGGATAGGTGGCCAGATATGTGGTTGAATGGACAATTCAGTGGACAAATAGACAAAAGCATGTGGTTGAATGGATGGGCAAAAGAGTGGATGGATTGAAGGGTGGGCACACAGGTAGGTGGTTGGGTGGATGATCAAGTATGTGTGAAGACAGATTGGTGGACAAATGGGTGGATGGATGGTAGAAAAAGGGATGGGTAGACAGATGGGCACCATAAACTATGGGCCCCTTCTAATTCTGTAACTATTGCTCTCATTCGGTCACTCAGTCATTCACTTGTGACTCGTTCATTAATTCTGGCCCCTCAGAGTCTCTCTGGGCAGGAGAAGGCAAGAGGGCTTCACTAGGAAGGGAGGGAAGGAAGTGCAGTGGGTTTTCACTGGGATCTCCTCACCTCCCCCAGACACGTCAGCCACGTGGGGTGGGACCCCCAGAATGGATTTGACGTGAGTAATTCCAAAGACCCCTTGACCCACTTAACTACCCACCTACCCTTCCATAGTCCACTGGCTCAGACCTACCCCTAGACCCCACCCTTTCTACACCCCTCTCAGAAGATCCCTCTCTGGGGTGAACCTATTGATAATCTGTGCCCCTTCTCTATCCACCTTATTCCCCCATCCCTGCCCTGGCCTATTTCCTCCTGGGCAGGTAAACAACCTGGACCCGGATCTGCGGAGTCTATTCTCCAGAGCAGGAATCAGTGAGGCCCAGCTCACAGATGCCGAGACCTCCAAACTTATCTACGACTTCATTGAGGACCAGGGTGGGCTGGAAGCTGTGCGGCAGGAAATGAGGCGCCAGGGTGAGTCCCCCCCCCTTCTTTTCCAGTCCTAGCAGCTGGTTTTTAAGAGGGATAGTCACCCAGTCCTCATGGAAACCCTTATACTGCTTGAATGAGGAGTTGGTCAGTTGTGGCACCCATTTTATACATGAGCAAAACCGAGGCTCTGAAGAAAACTATAACAATAGCTATGTGTTATTTTCCCCCCTCAGAGCCGCTTCCACCGCCCCCACCGCCGTCCCGAGGAGGAAACCAGCTCCCCCGGCCCCCTGCTACTGGGAGCAATAGGGGTCGTTCTGGTCCACTGCCTCCTGTACCTTTGGGAGGTGCTCCACCCCCACCAACTCCTCGGGGACCCCCACCCCCAGGCCGAGGGGGCCCCCCGCCACCACCCCCTCCAGCCACTGGACGTTCTGGACCACCACCTCCTCCGCCACCTGGAGCTGGAGGGCCTCCTGTGCCACCGCCTCCACCACCACCACCACCACCCAGCTCTGGGGATGAGCTAGTGCCTCCCCCTGCTCCTGCTCTGGGGCCTGTGGGGAGCCTGCCCCCCAGTGGAGGTCGGGGGGCACTTTTGGATCAAATCCGGCAGGGAATTCAACTAAACAAGGTGAAGATGGGCAGGATTGAGGATTGGGGGTCTGGGGCTCGGGTGTGCTGGGCAAGCCAGGATATTAGGGGGCCAGGGCTAAAACTGATGGAGGTCCCAGTCTTTAGGGTTTCAGTAACAGGGCTGGGATGCTGGTGGGGCGAGGTAGGCTGGGAACCTCGAAGGGGACTGGAGTGTATGGGAGAGGAAGTAATGAAGGGGCAGGGAGGAATGCTCCAGTCACCAGCCTCGAACCCTCTGTGCTGGACCCTGCTCCTTGCAGACCCCTGGGGCCCCAGAGAGCTCGGGGCTACAGCCTCCACCTCCGAGATCGGAAGGGCTGGTGGGAGCCCTGATGCACGTGATGCAGAAGAGAAGCAGAGCCATCCACTCCTCAGGTGAGAGCCTGCCCTTCGCCAGGACAGTGAGCCTGGTTCCCAGGGCTAGTGTCTGCCTAAAAACAACCCCAGCAGTTACCATCAAGAGTAATAGTATCCCTACATGACTCTTGTATCAATCTCCTTTTGGACAATGTTAACATTGTCATTACGGAACAATAATATAATTTGCTCTCTCTATTTTTTTAAATCTTAACGTTTTATTTATTTCTGAGAGAGAGAGAGGCAGCGTGAGCAGGGTAGGGTCACAGAGAGAAGGAGATACAGAATCTGAAGCAGGCTTCAGGCTCTGAGCTAGCCATCAGCACAGAGCCCGACATGGGGCTCAAGCCCACGAACCGTGTGATCATGACCTGAGCCAAAGTTGGAGGCTTAACTGACTGAGCCACCCAGGCGCTCCTAATTTGCTCTCTCTATTTTTTTAAGTTTATTTATTTATTTTGAGAGAGAGAGAGAGAGCACACGTGCATGCAGGAGGGGGAGGCACAGAGAGAGAGAGGGAGAGAGAGACTCCTGGGCAGGCTCCTCACTGTCAGCGCAGAGCCTGATGACCGGCTTGACCTCACAAACCTGTGGGATTGTGACCTAAGCCAAAGTCAAGAGCTGGTGGCTTAACCAACTGAGCCACCAAGGTGCCCCTAATTCACTCTATCTTTGACAATAATATCAGCATTAATGCAAGGCATCTCCACAATATTAATATTAATCCCATATGTTCAGTGGTGTTAACATTAGCCCATATGTGATGATATTATAAAGAACACCACCTGAGACAATAATATTAACTCTAACTCCATGTGTCAATAGATGAACATTAGTTCATTATGTGATAATTATATAACTAGCCCAATCTTTATATAATAATGTTAACATTAATCCCCTAATGTGTCAATGATATTGTCATCATATGACAATTATATGAGGGTAACATGAACCTCAACCTATTTTGGCACTATTAACATTAATCCTAGAGTACATCCACAAGATTTAAAAAAAATGTTTTTTATGTTTATTTATTATTGAGACAGAGAGAAACAGAGCATGAGCAGGGGAGGGGTAGAGAGAGGGAGACACAGAATCGGAAACAGGCTCCAGGCTCTGAGCTGTCAGCACAGAGCCCGACACGGGGCTCGAACCCACGCGCCGAAGTCAGACGCCTAACTGACTGAGCCACCCAAGCGCTCCTATATCCACAAGATTAATATGAACCCATTATATGACAATATTATAATGAACCTCATTTTTTGACAGTGATGTTGTCCATAACCCATTATGTGTCAACAATGTTAACATGAACCTGCTTTGGAACAGTAATATTGTCATTTACTCCATCTTTGCCAATAATATTTAAATTCACCCTATTAAGTAACAAACCCTTTAACGTTAACCCTTGTGTGAGTGACAGTAATATTCCAATTAATCACATTTTTGACAATGACATTCACTTCAACTCCAACTCTAACCCACACCCTAACTCTTGCTTCCCTGAGGTGGAGGGGGGGGCTTCCTCATACAACTACACAGGCCCCAGATGTGATTTCCAGCAGGAGACCTCAGTCCCCCAGGACCCTGAGTCCTGACCTCTCAAACCCCAAGAACCTCACCCCACTCAGGGCCTTTGAACCCTTCTGCCCATCCTGAGACCTGCTTTCTCTGTCCCTCCAGATGAAGGGGAGGACCAGGCCGGCGATGAGGATGAGGACGATGAGTGGGACGACTGAGCCACCCTGCCCACCTGTTCTGCACCTACTCCCCTGGCAGCCGCTGCTTCCTGGCCTCCACTCAGGGCCTCCACTCAGGGCCTCCAGGCCCTCAAGCTCCATTTCTCCCCCACTGACCCTTCCAATGCTGTCATCTCTGACTGGCCCCCAACATTAACCCTAGCAAATTGCCCGGGCCCCTTTTTATATAAAATTTCTCAGTTCTCCCCACATAAGGATTTTTAAACAGAAATAAAATAACTGTCTTTTTTTTTCTCTAAATCTGTTTGTTTATATTCCAAAGGTGGAAATTTGGGGTCCTGTTTCCCCAACGTCTCTTTTATTCATCTATACCATTTAATTTATTTGGCCTTACGTGTACACATTCACTCATTTGTTCCCTCATTGATTTCTTTGCTTCCTTCTGTCTTTCTTTCTTTCCACAAACATTTACTGCCAGGTACTACTTTAGGGGCTAGGGATAAAGCAGTGGGGAAATAAACCCAGTGAGGCCAACATTCAAGTGGAGGAGACCACTCTAAAACAAGGAATCAAATAGAAACAAAAGATACTTACAGATCATGGTAAGTGCTGTGATATGCTGAGGGGGAATGGCACTCACAGAGAACCTTCACAGAAAGCCACCTGGAGGAAGTGACAGTTGTGCAGAACCTAAAGAGAGAGGAGTCAACCAATAAATATTTGGGGGGATGGCACTCCAGGAGGAATAGCAAGTGCAAAAGCCCTGAGGTGCTTGGTGTGAGGTTGAGTGTGGTGAATGAGTAGGAGTTATTTATTCATTTACTTATTTACTGCTTTAAAAAAACCAAAATGTTTAATCAACATGGTATTAGATCAAGACACTACTCAGTGCTCAGACTTACTCTCTATGCCCACAACTCACACACCAGGATCCTGATGGGCAGGACCCCTCTCTCAATTTTTAAATTTGGCTCTGCCCAGTTCTCAGGGCAAACCAAGTCCTGGCCGATGGCAATGAAAAGAGGCAAAGACTTAGTAATCAGATAGATCTGCTCTAGAACCCGGGCCCACCTCTGAGCCTCAGTTTCTTCATCTATACAATGGAGGTTTACAATATGTTACTGATTTCCAACTGAGATCGCATTAGGTCACCCTTCCTCCTCTAGGAATTACTCCCCAGAAAAAAAAAAAAAAAGGAGCAAGTCAAAACTGTCCCTAGTGTTTAAAGCTGTTTCCAAGGGAGTGATTAGTATCTCTTGCACATCAGAGCCTTAGAAGAGGTGCCGACTCCTTCCCATTTCTAACATCTGGTGGCTTCAAGATCTCAAGTGTCCTACCTTTTAGAGGACAAGGAGGGGAGTGGGGAGAAAGATAACAGTAAGGAGGAATCCAGAGAGTGAAGTCCTCAACCATCTGCAAGACCAGTGGAAGAATTTCTGAACCATCCAAGGTGCAGGCATGGGGTTAGGGGAGGGAGCGAATGGAGCCAGGCTGAGGGCGGAGGTGTGGGAGGTGGGAGCTGGTTTTGTTCCTTAAGAATTCGCCTGCAGCCTCAGAAGCTCAACAAAGACTGAATCTCCAGTTTCTTTTCGTTCTTTCATTGTTCTTCACCTTCTACTCCCCTCCCCACCCCAGGTCACCAGGGGCAAGCTGAGTCTAGGAAGGGCTTGTCTGTATCACTTACCTGCCTCCCCACTCCCTGCTAGGAAACCGTAGAAACCCAGTGTTCGGGGACCCCCTCAGCAGGCTTTGTCCTGGGGAAGAAACTTCTGTCAAACACACTGTGAATCCCCAGGAACACTGCCTAGAGCAGGCACAGATTTGGTGTCAAAGTATCCACAGTGGACAAGTTGCTTGAACTTTCTGGGCCTCAGTTTCCTCAGTCTTTCCATGGAGACTAAAAATGCTTACTTCCCAGGGCTGTGGAGAGAATTGAAGTAGACGGTGTCTGCAAAGTGCCTGGCTCCTTGAGTCATCTATAAACATTAGCTGCTGCTGCTGCTGTTCTTGTTCTTACCGGTTGTCACTGATCCTGCGTCACTGCTGATTATAAAATGCACCATTATTCTATGTATCACTAAGAAAGACAAAAAACTACTGCGTATTGAATTATGACTCACCAGGGGCGCCTGGGTGGCTCAGTCGGTTAGGTGTCCGGCTTCGGCTCAGGTCATGATCTCATGGTTCGTGGGTTCGAGCCCTGCATCAGGCTCTGTGCTGACAGCTAGCTCAGAGCTGGAGCCTGTTTCAGATTCTGTGTCTCCCTCTCTCTCTGACCCTCCCCTGCGCGTGCACGCTCTCGCGCTCTCTCTCTCTCTCTATCCCCCCTCTCTCTCTATCCCCCCTTTCTCCCCCCCTCTTTCAGAAATAAATAAAACAATAAATTTTTTAAAAAAAGAATTATTACTCACCAGTGCTTGGGAGATGCAGCCTGATTTCAGAGATGTTAAAAAATGACATGCTCCTGGAACTCTGGCTGCGGATGTTCCTTAACCTGCATTATGATTCCACATGTGTGTTTGCTTGTGAGAACTCATGACACCGGTCACCCGTGGTGTGTGCACTCTTATGTATGTGTGGTACACTCAAATATGAGGTGTACATTAAAAACAGATCAAACCTGTACAGCTTGGAATGGAAAAGATCTTATATTGGTTCCAGCACTGGGTTAAGTCAGTATACACAGTTGGCACTAAATTAATGCTGAATGAACAACAGACAAGTGGCTGGGAGTGGGACACAGTAATAAGAGGGGGGCCTCTTACTTTTGATATTTGAACAGATGCTAGTCCAGATTCATTTCCAGATGAACGAGAGATGCCTCCACCCCAAGGTCACTCATCTGAGGTTTTACAGATAAAGAAACTGCCTAAGGTCACACAATGGTGGAGCTAGTATTTGGACCCAAATAGCTAGGCTCCAGGATCCATCCTTTACCCACTACACTATATATACTGTTTGGGGAGGACCGAGATATGAAAAATTAATAAAGGGAAACCTTCCTAAAATGGACTCAGGATGCTAGAAGGGGAAGCTGGTAGAAGGGGAGGCTGGTAGAAGTAGCTTACCTCTCCATATCAATTACAAGAAAGGTTGTCAATTCCAGCCAAGAGAAGTATTTCAACAAGAAAGAATGATCAATTACAGATCCCTTGGCAGGGAAAGATGTACATTGTATCTTCTATAAGAAATAGACTAGTCCTGCAACTCAGCCAATGAGAAACCGTCATCACTATGAGCTCTTGCTTTTCTCCAATAGACTTTGGTTCCAAACAACCCCTCCCAACTTCCTCCTTACCCAGAATGTAACATTCCTCTCCTTTGTTTATTGGACTGGCATATGGTTTTGCCATACTTTGTTTTGCAATTCTCAGCTCTTCCTGAATAATTGTACCTGTTGTTGGTAAAGTAGCTGGCAGTTTTTAAGGTTAACAAAAGGAATGTTCCCCAACACCCACAGACCCCCGGATGACCCCACCCCCCAGGCTCAGTCGCCTTAAATCATCCTTGTGGGTTGGACAGGCCTCCTCCACTCCAGGGAGTGGGAAAGCTCTGCCTGTCTAGGGAGACTAGGGGGCTTGTGAGGACCAGCATGTCTTCTAGAAGGAGTAACAGATGCAAGAAGATGAGTGGTGGGAAGTGTGCTGTTGACTGTTCCACTCGTGGTAAGCAGGGGCTGACATGCAATCTCAAACTGACCAGCCATTTCTCCAACTAGCTCATACTAGACCGACAGGCCATTTGCCTAACTATAACTGTTTGGTTGACTACATAACTCATGGAACAACAGGGAGAGGGGCAGTTTGAGGAACTGAGTGCAATTTCCTGATGCTGTGGGGTACTGAATATCTAATCAAATTACACTAGCCTCGGGCTGGCTGGGACTGGTTGGTGTTGTGATATATAGAGGATGGGCAGCCTCCTGAGGGACTGCCAGGCTGGTTGACTGATGACCCGCACTGTTGCCGCCTGCCTCGGTGGCAGGATATTGTAAATGAACAGACTATTGCTAGAGTCACATCTGGCCTGAGGGAGTGTCTGGATATTATACTGTCTGATGATGTGTAAAGGAGGGCTACCCTGAGGGAATTTCAGGCTGCCTGAGGGAGAGATCTGTGACTGCCTGGTAGGTAGCTCTATCTAGTGACTGTCCACCCTGGACACCTCATGCTTGACAGACCCTGTAGTCCGTCAGATGCTGAGAATGGCTGCCTGGCTAGTTGACAATATGATGAAGGGCAGTGAATGAGTCACAGGTCCGCTGACCAACTGAAAGAACAGTGTAGCTGCCTGATTCAGTGGCTGTGCCAGGATGGAATCACAGCCGCCCTGAGGGGACCCCCTGGGTCAGAGGAGACTGAATGACTGACCAATGTTGAGCATACCTTGCCTGAGAAATGACAGACGGCTGAGCCACTATCAGGTGGCGTGGAGGTTTTAGTTGTTGTGACTGCTCTGGGGGAATAACTGCCTGATTACGGCGTTAATGAGGAGTAACCCAAGGGAATTAAAGAGTGACCAACTAGCATTGGATAGCATGACTGCTTGAGAGAGGGCGATAGGAGATGCTGACAATGACAGCCTGTCCTGATGTCATAATCATGGCCTGCCTGAGGGCATGGCTGGTGGCTCTGAGATGGTTTCCCCAAGGGGACTCAGAGCTGCCCCTAGAGCAAAAGTAGAAGGAAAGCGGCTGCTTGACTGAAAAACGGAGAGGGAATGACAGGCTGACTTACAGTGTAGTTGTTAGCGCCGTGTGTCTGCCTGGAGGCAGAAATGGATGCTGCTGTTGTTGACTGACTGGCAGAGAGTGTGCGGGGGTGTGTGTGTGTGTGGAGTCTAAACAGTACTCTGCAGTGATGGACCCATTGTCGGATTTGAGTCTGTTCGTGGTGACAGTCCATCTTGGGAGTCACGGCCTGCTTGGGGTTAAAATGTGATGACGACTGACTGACGGTAATAATTGGGGGTCTGACAGAACAGAGAATCCCCCTTACGGCTGGCTGACGTGATTGGCTGACAGCGTCACAGACAGTACTGCGTACGGGCAGGGCCTCCGGCGAACTCAGTTGCCGCTGCCGCCAGTGCCGCCCAGACGCACTCTGGGAAAGCTCTGGCGAGCACCCGCCTCCGGGACGGAGCGGGGTGGCGGGGAGGGGTCCGGTCACGGCTCGCCGGTTGGTCCGTGAGGGCGCTGCTCGCGGTGCCGCACGGCCAATAGGCTGAGCGTTCTCGGCCACGCCCGCGCGAGCTCTCTTCTCGCGAGGCCGGTTAGGCCCGAATGTCGTTAGCCGTGGGGAAAGATGGCGGAAAATTTAAAAGGTGAAGCAGTGGCGGCAGCGGCGCGGGCCTGCTGGCCGGGCCGGGTGGGCTGGAGGGGTGGCGTCGCGGGCTCGGGGCTCCGGCGTCCGAGGCCACGGAGCCGGGAGCCGGAAGCCTGGCGCGGAAAGGATGGGGCTCAGGGAGCCCGGGCCTGGCGCGCGGGGCTGGGCGGGGCTGAGGGGAGGGGGCGCGTGCCTCGAAACGCGGCGGGCGCGGGGCTAAGTGGGGACGTGGGAGGGGGGCGCGCGCCTCGGATCGCGACCAGTCGGCGCGCGCACGCGCGGGGGCTTGTCGGGGAGGCCGCGCCCGCGCGCGGGAAAATCGGCCGCCGGTGACCGTTACCCGGTTGGTGTCCACGCGAGACGCCGGAAGGGGAGGGAAGGGAAGGGGACGGACCTCCTTTTCAGAGTGAGGGGACAGGGGACTCTTCAGGGGGAGGGTATCTTCTTTCAGCGTGATGGGGGAAGGGTTTGCTGTAGCGAAGACTCCCCCAGGAAGAGGGGAAGGGGGCTTCTCTCATAGAAGAGCTGGACTCCCTCGTGTGCAGGGGAAGAGGGGTGACTTTTCCAGTATGTTGGGGAGGGTGGGCTCCTCTGGTTGAGGAGAGCTGCGGGGGAGATGGGGTCCACAGTGTGGGGGGACGTCTGAAGGGTAGGAATCCACCTGTGGTCAGTGCGGAGCCAGCAGCTGGAAATGTTAGTTGAGACCGCTTCAGTGGGGTTTCAAATGCAAGTTAAGGGGGTTGGAAGGGAGAGGCATCATAGGGGAGAGGAAAGCGTGGGCACAGGCTTGAGTCTCCACTAGACCTGCCTAAGGGGGGGGGGGGATGTGCACACGAAGTAATTTTGCAGAGCTCTTGTACGTTTTCATGTTGACGTCTGTAGTATTTCATTATGACTTCAAATGTTTGGCTTTTGTAATAATGGGAGGTAGAGAATATTAAAACTAGGGTGAGGGCTGACTGCATTTGGAATAAATGTTTGTGAAATGATTTGATAAAATGGCTTCTAAAGCACATTGTGCCTTGAATCATAAGTCTTTTTTTTTTTTTAATCCATGTCTTGAAAATTTCTGGTAGCCCCAGAAACATTCCAGGTATATTTAAAAGAATTGTCAGTAACCTGTACTGTTTTGTCGGTTCCTCAATTCAGAGCATACTCCTTTGGGTGAGCTTTACCCTTCACAGAAATGTAGATGAGACAAAGTCAAAATGCAGTGTGAAAAAATGGACCTTGCAGGTTTAGGCACCAAGATTAATCATTCAAGGAAGCTTCCTGAAATCTTATTGTCACTCCACAATCTCTTACTCATAATTCTGAAATCTAAAAAGCCCTGAAAACTTAAGTTTGGCACCATTTGGTGGCTAAACTGGATTGTAAAGTGGGACTGTGTTGCCTCTTTATTTCTCCTATTAAATGTGAAAATTCTACTTTTTGCTGCACAACTATTAATATGTTTGATTGTGGCTTGATGCCCCTGACCACACTGGGGGTGTTAGGTAATGTATGGGGTCTACCTAAAAACTACACTTGTACAAATCCAAGAAAATCTAAATTCCTAAACACGTCTAGCCCCAGGAGTTTCAGATAAGGGATCCCGGACCAGTCTTTCCAGTTAAGCCTTTGTTTGGTGCCTAGAGGTTGTAATCCCATCCCCACCCGTTCCCTTGGGGCAATGCACCCTACGGAGATGGGGGGTGGTTCTCTTTCTTTTGCTAAGTGGGGAGAGGGATGATTAGGTCCTGAACCCTAGGCAGGGTTGCAGGCAGTTTTAGGAGTAATGTGGAAGCTCTGGGAATAGATTCCTTTAGGACAATCCCTGCAGCAGATCCCACTTCGAGGTCTGCTGCTCTAGGGGTAGATTTGGAGTGAGCACTGAGGTTTGAAGGAAGTGGCACGTTTTCGGGGTAGAAGGGGCTTAGCATTGGGAAGGCGTGTGGATGGAATCTCACTGAGAAGTCCCAGGGAGGATGTGGGGTCCCCTTTGACAACTGGCTTCACCAGGATGCCCAGTAACTTCTTTCTGGCCTCCTTGTTCTAGGCTGCAGTGTGTGTTGCAAGTCTTCTTGGAATCAGCTACAGGACCTGTGTCGCCTGTCCAAGCTCTCCTGCCCTGCCCTCGGCATCTCCAAGAGGAATCTCTATGACTTTGAAGTCGAGTACCTGTGTGATTACAAAAAGATCCGCGTGAGTGTGGGGTGACCATGGCCAGGGCAGGGGTGTGTCAAGGGAGCTGGCTTACTGCCCCCTTGTCCCCCACTGCCCCCCACTGCCTGCATCAGTTTCCAAAGGGAGTTTTCTCCTCTGATCTTAAAAAATTAGGATTAGTAAGCCTTCCTACCATCTTTGTTTTACAGGTGAGGAAACCTTAAGTGGCTTCCTCAGAGGGTCAGGAGCCAGAATGAGTCCCCAAATAAACAAGTCTCTCTTCCCACCTCCATAGGAATACAGACCAATGCAAAGATTGAGATACTGAGCCCAGGACTAGAGATGATGATAGCTAGCGGTTATTGAGCACTCTCCGTGTGCTGGGCACCTCCTCTCAGAAACTCCTTTAATCTCCCATCAGCAATGTGGAATGGGAACTGTTATCAGGGCCAGAGGAGGTAATGGCCGGATAAAGAGAGGAGACTGGAGCCAGCATGATTGGGTTCAGATTTTGGCTCCGTAACCCCGGGATACTTACCCAAATTCTCCGTGGTTCATTTTCCTTATCTGTGATCACTAGTAGTGTTTACCTCCTATAGACTTGTGAGGATTTAAATTAGTTAACAAGAGTACCTGCTATATATTGAATGTTGTAAAAATGTTAGCTTTTTTCTTATTTATAGATGAGGAAACTGAAGCCCAGCACAGTTAAGTAACTCGCCTAAGGCCACAAGGCCAAGGGAGCAGCAGATTCAGGATTTGTACCCAGAAAGTCTGATTGTAAAATCTGTGTAGTTAAACTCTGTTGTATAGCTGCCTCCCTGCAAGAAAAGATCCCTCTGGCTGCTGAGTGGGGAACGGACTGTAGGGGCCAGGGTGGACCAGTGAGGAGGATACTATGGCAGTCCAGGCAAGTGATGACAGTGACGGTGGTTTGAAGTGGTCAGATTCTGGATGTAGTGTGAAGGTGAGGCTGACAGGGTTTGCTGAGGGTGGATGTGGGGAGTGAGAGAAAGAAGTCAGTCATGGGAGTTGGGGCCTGAACAGCTAGAGGGAGGGAGCTGATGAAAGGGAAGAGAGAGGAGGGAGCAGGTTAAATTAAAACTTGGAATTTAGGCAATAAGGGGGAGAATGGGATTTGAACTTAGGGATCCTCCGTCTAGAGCCCCCCCTTTATTTTTAAGAAGAGAGACCAGGGTGGGGGACAGAGGATAAGAGAGAGAGAATCTCAAGCAGGCTCCATGCTCATGGTGGAGCCTGACAAGAGGGCTCAATCCCACAACCCTGGGATTATGACCTGAGCCGAAATTCAAGAGTCAGCTGCTCACCTGAGCCACCCAGGAGCCCCTAGAGCCCATGCTTTTTAACTGCTGAATGGAGTCACTCCAGAAGACGTGAGGGGATGGTTTGGGTGCTCTCCATCAGCTTTGGGATGGAAGGCCCAGGAGGGCTGGTCCAGGGGTTTTGCCACTTATGGTGCCCCCTCACCCCCTGGTCCCCCAACAGGAACAAGAGTATTACCTGGTAAAATGGCGTGGATACCCAGACTCCGAGAGCACCTGGGAGCCACGGCAAAATCTCAAATGTGTGCGCATTCTCAAGCAGTTCCACAAGGACTTAGAAAGGGAGCTGCTCCGGCGGCACCACCGGTCAAAGCCACCCCGGCACCTGGACCCAAGCTTGGCCAACTACCTGGTACAGAAGGCCAAGCAGAGGCGGGCGCTCCGGCGCTGGGAGCAGGAGCTCAATGCCAAGCGCAGCCACCTGGGACGCATCACCGTGGAGAACGAGGTGGACCTGGACGGCCCCCCGCGGGCCTTCGTATACATCAATGAGTACCGTGTGGGTGAGGGCATCACCCTTAACCAGGTGGCAGTGGGCTGTGAATGCCAGGACTGTCTTTGGGAACCTGTTGGAGGCTGCTGCCCTGGGGCATCACTCCACAAGTTTGCCTACAATGACCAGGGTCAAGTGCGGCTGCGCGCCGGGCTGCCCATCTACGAGTGCAACTCGCGCTGCCGCTGTGGCTATGACTGCCCCAACCGTGTGGTACAGAAAGGCATCCGCTATGACCTCTGCATCTTCCGCACGGATGATGGGCGTGGCTGGGGCGTCCGCACGCTGGAGAAGATCCGCAAGAACAGCTTCGTCATGGAATACGTGGGAGAGGTAGGGAGACGGGACCCGGCGTGGCGTGTGTGTGAGCGCGCCCGCGCGGCTCTTCCCACCATGTGTTCCCATTGTGTGCGCCCAGCTCGCCTTACTGCGTGCCTGCGACTTCCCTGCTTTTCCTGTCCAGGGAAAGGTGGGAGTGTTAACCTGAGTGTGATAGGGACATCCTGGTAGAGGCCCATATTTCAAGCTGGTAGTTGAGGGCGCCTGGGTGGCTCAGTCGGTTAAGCCTCCAACTTCGGCTCAGGCCATGATCTCAAGCTGGTAGTCAAAAGCACATTGAAGTACTTCCGGACTGGGTTTAACCTCCTAAGGGTACCTAGCAACGAGGAAAGTGGGAACTGAAATCCAGGCAGCGTTCCTTTTAACAGGCCTTGTGGTCTGCACAGGGTTGCATCACCCGAGAAGGCACTATTTCTCATTTCACAAGGGTCCAGCTTACCGCCAAGCAGTGTCTGACTGGGAGGAGCACCTTTTACTAATCTGACAAAAGGAACACAGTCACTCTGGAGTTGGACGTAGACACGCCGTAGGTTGGCTGCCTCTTCCTCCAGACTTGCAGCACCCTGGGGAAAGCCTGTGTATACAGTTGACCCTGGAACAATACGGGGAGTGGGGGATGAGGAGGAGGTTAGGTGCGCCCAGCACATGTAGTCAAATTACATGTGACTTTTGACTCCCCAGAAACTTCACTAATAGCCAACCTACTGTTGACCTCACCTATAACATAAACCGTTGACTAACATGTATTTTATAAGTTACAATGTATTATGTACTGTAACACACATTTTATGAGTTACAATGCATCATATACTGTATACTTAGAATGGAAGAAGTAACATTCACAGTACTACACTGTATTTTTCAGAATCTGCACGTAAGTGGACCCACAGGTTCAAACCTGTGTTGTTCAAGGGTCAGCTGTATTAGGCAGGCTAGCGGCTATACCAAACCACCCCCAAATCTAAGTGGCTTCACACACTAGAAGTCTGTTTGCTCCTAGAACAGTCCGGCATGGGTATTTGGTATTTTTCTCTACAGTGGTGTGGCCACCTAGGCTCCTTCCCTCTTGTGTATTTGCTGTGCTTTCAAGCCTTGGAGCCACCCCTGATCCTCACTCGGCATTGCTGGCAAGTGGGCTGAGAGGGTAGAAGGGGAGGTTGCTAATGGTCCAGGCTTGGACACAGTGCCCATCACCTCTGTCCACACCCACTGCCTGGAACTGGCTTCAACCTCGGTGCAAGGGAGGCTGGGAAGTGTGATTTAGCTGTGTGCCCAGGCGGAAAACAAAACGACTTCAAGTAACCAGCAAGAGTCTGTAACAGCAGGTGTCCTGTTCTAAGGTGGAATGTGGTGGGGATTTGGGGGTGGAGCCGTTCGGACCATCTCCTGCATTGGGGAACATTTAACATCCCTGGATTTTGACCATTTAAATCCATGGGTGTGCCATCATGGTGACAACCCCAAATATTTTCCTGTTTCCATAGGTCTCTTACAGGGGTGTGATATGGTTGGGAAGTGATAGAAATTGGCCTAAGGTACACCTCAGGGTGTCTACACTATAGTAATGACACTGGTGGAGGGGAGAGGCTCCCATTGATGAACTACAGAGGGTCATAGCCCCAGGGGGCAGAGATGACCTAGAGGCAGAGCAGTCCACACTGCAGAGAGGACCCTGACAGTCTAGATGGGAAGTCCACACCCAGATAATCCTGATGGTCTGGTGGAAGAAATGTCTATACGTCAAAGGACCTGAGTCAAAGGACGTGAAGGTCTGGGGGAAGGAGGAGGTGGCCACACCCTAGAGGGTTCCTGACAGTCTGGGGTGGGGGTCCTGACAATTTGTAGGAAGAGAGGTCTATGTCCCAGAGAGACCTGGAGGAAGAGAGCAAGCTCTCTGCACTGTAGAGGACCCTGGTGGTCCAACTTAGTAAGTGTCCACACCCAAACAGTCCTGGCAGTTGGGAAAAAGAAGTGTCCTCATCCCAGAGGGATCAGGACAGTCTGAAGGAGGTCAGGTCTACACCTAAGAGAACTCTGACAGCCTGGAAAGAGGTGTCCACATCCTCAGCGTCCTGACACTCTGGAGGAGGTGTCCAGACCTCAGAGTGATGCTAACCGTGTGGAGGAGATGTTAACAGCCTAAAGGAATGTCATCAGTCTGAAGGCAGATGTGTGCACACCCTGGAGCCCCTGACAGTCTGGAGGAGGAGGTGTCTAGCCCCCACAGGAGCCTGACAGTTCAGAGAAGGGAATGTCTCCAGCCTCACTGTACTGACAGTCTCCAGGGAAAGCTCCTTATAATAGAGGATCCCGACAAGCGAAGAGGAGGGAGAGTCCACAGCTCCCAAGAACCCCGGAGTCCCCTGGTCAGGATGCTGTTCTGGCTGTTTTTCCTTCATGTCTTTACTGTTCTGTATTATAAACATTGGGGCTTCCAGGGCTTCCCACCCTGGTCCCCACTCTTCCCACTTCACACACACTCTCCTCAAGCTATTTCTTGGCCTCCTTCCTGCCACATTCTGTGACTTCCAGGCCCCCTTCTGACCCTGTCAGTCCTGTGGGGCCTCCTGATGGCACCATAGGCCCCAAACACTGCCAGAGCCAAACTCCTCTTTGTGTATCCCGTGAGGAGGCAGCACAGCCAAAGGTTGGGGGGGATGGCTCTGGGGCGTGACTACCTGAGGTTGGAGCCTAGCTCCACCACTCAGCAGCAGTCACTTACCCTCTTTGTGTCTCAGTTTCCCAGTCTGTAAATGGGAGTGGTAGTAGCACCCACATCATTCACTTGTTACAAGATTGAAATGAGTTACAGTGTATGCAGCCCTTAGAATAAGCCCTTGAACAGTGAGTCTTCAATAAATGTTAGCTATTACAGTCCAAAATCCAGAAAATCCCAAATGCTCAGAAAACCCAAAGTTTTTTGTAACCCATCTGGCGATAAAACCCAAGCAGACCTGATAGGGACCTATTTGTAGTGTCCTTATCCCACTTGGGGTGAATGTTCATAAATTTCATTGTAGAAATTATTACTCAGTTCCATGGTGCTGTCCCAGACCCTACCTGGTGTCCTGTAATCGAGGGCGTGCACCCCATACCTGTTGGCCATGCTGTCCTTTTATGATCTGGACGTGATATTCACTCTCCCATCTCCACACCAACAGTACCTCCATGTGAGCTTCCCTTCCTCGCCTTTGCGTCCTTCCACGTCCCATCTGAACATCCCAACCCTCATCCAGAGGAGAACAGCAGCCCACTTTATCCATTCTGAAACCTGCATTCTTTTCATATTTCAACGACGCTGAAATGAAGATGAGTCTCAATTACTTTAATTAAATGATGGTGCATCATTTAATTAGCTGTTTTTCCTTTCTTGAGAAAGGGCACAAAATAAGGGAGCAGGTTAGATTCAGACAAAATTGGTACTCATCCATTCCTAACATCGCTCCGTGTCCTAACTAAAGCGAAAACAAGTCTCTTTCACGACCCTGCTTGCATTGGATCTTTACGATAGCAGCTCTTGCCAGGTTGGGATTATTATCATTGTCATCCCCATTCTACAGATGAGAACTGAGGCCCAGAGAGGTATAGTAATTTGTTCAGCGTCACCAAGCTAATGAAGTGGATAAAAAAAGGCCCAAGTTTCTAAAGTTGGTGTGCTGCCAGACCTGGTGGAGGGTTGTGGGTTTGTTTTTTGTTTTTTTGGGTTTTTTTTGGCTGAGGAAACAGGCAGGAGGAGAGAACATTCAGGATCCCGTATCCAGATGGGGGCAGAGCAGTGACCAGACTCGAAGTCTTCTGGTTCTTGTTCACTGTAACCCCCTTTCCAGGCTGCTAGCTTACAGCCTATCTGTCTTCCTCAGTCATTCTGGAGAGCTGCTAGGGAGCAGGGACATGGCCTGCTCTGTTTCCCAACTTTCGGGGCACACCCGCCCTTACAGAGTGGGATTGGAAGGAAAGAAGACCGAGAAGGAACCGTTTGTGCCCTGGAGGGCTCACCCTGTGACTCACTCTTGGTGAGACTCGGGGAGCAGGTAGAGGCAGAACAGGCGGGAAGATGGAGACTGGGGAGGATGCGGAAAGGAAAACGCTGCCTCAGACACCACCCAGCATGCTTGTGAGCCAGCAGAGGCTGCCCTTCGGTCCCGGGGCTTCAGAGAGCTTCAGAGAGGCAGCAGCTTCCTCATGGCGACTGGGGATCAGGAGGTTCAGGAAGACTGCAGAGAAGTCACATCTGTGTGCCGACTCCACAGGGAAAGAGTGTGTGTTCTCAGGCGTTGGAGGGAGACTGACCTTGACAAACTCCTCAGAACACTTCTGTGGCTCCTACTGCGTCCCTCAGGAGAGTGTCCCCGCTCTTGGAGGACCTAGTGGCAAAGCCCTTTTCTGACCTGGAGCTTGCTTTAGATGGTGTATGGCTTTTTTACTGCCCTGGGAACCCTAGGTGCCATTCTCCCATCAGCATCTTGCACTGCAGGTATCTGAGTCCATCTCTCTTTTACTAGACTGTGACCCCTGAGGGCCAGGACCAAGCCTGGTTCCTCTGTCTCCCCTGACCCAACTGTGGCTCCAACAGGGGCGCGGCCTGGTCCCTCTGTCTCCCCCTGTAGATACTGGCCCGTAAGCGCTAGGACCAGGCACAGGGTAGGCCTCATAAAAATGCACCGAATGACTGAGTGAATAGACCAGCACAAATTGGGAGTGTCGGGGAGCCAGGTTTCTCAGAATGGAGCTGGAATGCAGGGCAGTGAGCAGTGTGGCCTGAGGGGTAGTCCCTGGTCTTCTCCAGGTATTGATTAGGAATTGGACCAGAGCAGAGGCTGGAGGTGCTGGTGTTAAGAGGCAGGGAGGAGACTGGAGGACCCCAGTGCAGCCGTCCTGGCTGGTGAAAGTGGAGGGTGGTGAGGACTGGAATTCCGTAGGAAGGGCACGGTCCTGGCGGGCTGAGGGCAAGCAAGGGAGGAAGCCAGGGCAGGTTTGGGTTTGTGTCAGATGGCAGGGGTGGTGGCGGCTAGTGGGTCTCTGATGAAGGGAGAGGGGAAGAAGGGGTGTGGGCGGAGGAGGGGGTTGGAGTTGCCTCTAGGACCACCACAGGACGAAGGATAGGTCACTGGGCTAGAAAGCAGAGTAAAAAATAAAGGGCACTCATGGCGTTTTTGCTTTGTGCTGTGCGGGCACTGGTTTCTGAGGGGTGCGCGGAGGTAGCTGGAAGCCCGGAGTGGAGAACGAGATGTGCCCCGGTCTGGAGGCACCCCAGGCTGAGGAAGAGGCAGTCTTGGGTTCCACAAGACCCTCACCCAGAGTCGGGCATGGTTGGCTGTGCCTGGGAATTACCAGAAGGCAAGGCTTTGGTCAGCTGGGAGCCTGGGTGGGGGCGGGGATGTGAGGGGAGAAGAGGCAGGGGCTTTCCAGGACATCCAGGGACCCATCTGGGGAGGAGGAAATGCCCACTGCTGTCTTAGATCCTGGCTGCTGGCACTGGGCAGCATCAGGGCTGAGGGAGTGGCTCTTTCCAGTGCTCTTGGCTCCTTTCTTACACCTGTTATCTCTTGAGATTCTGGCCTCTGCTTCTTTCTTGCTGTCTCAGACTCTCAGCAGGTCCTGATCTTCTCTCTGGATCAGGGTCTTTCGTATTAAGATTCTGTCTTTTAAGTCTCTGCCTTGAGTTCTCTTGTCTGAGTCTCCTTCCCATTCATTCTATCCCCCTTTCCCACTGGTCCAGGCCGCTTTCTCCTTTCCATGTTCTCCGCTCCACCTTGAGTTCGCAGTCCAGCACTGGCACCTTCTCTTGTGCTGGGTCTCACAGTACCTCGGGCTCTCTTGCAGCCTTTCTCTTTCTCCCCCACTCATCCACCCCTCTCTGTGAGCCCTGGGTCCTTTTCTTGCCCTTGCTCTTCTTAGTCTGTCTCACTATGGGTCTCTTTTTCTCTCACTCCTGGACATTGTGGCCAGCCTCTGCCCACTATTGAGAGAGACCATGTCATCCAGAGGCCTGAGGAGGGATGGGTGGCGGGCATCTGAGGCCCAGCTCCCTTCTCGGGGTCAGCAGACTGTCTGCATCGCAGCCCCCCCACCCTCCATGTGTCCACACCTGCTACCCCTGCTGAGCCAGCCACAGTTCTGCGCACTTGTTCTCCTGGCCCAGGGGAGGGGCCAGGCTGGGGGTCAGGAGCTGTGCTGGTTTTCCTGGGCCTTCTTGGCCATTCTCCCCTCCCCATGGCCCTCTCCCCAGATCATTACCTCAGAGGAGGCGGAGCGGCGGGGCCAGATCTACGACCGCCAGGGCGCCACCTACCTCTTCGACCTGGACTACGTGGAGGATGTGTACACCGTGGATGCCGCCTATTATGGCAACATCTCCCACTTTGTCAACCACAGTGTGGGTACCCCGCAGGCGGGCGGGGGTCGGGAGGAGCAGGCTGGGGCCCCTCCTCACCCTCCCGCTGTTCTTTTTCGCCTAGTGTGACCCCAACCTCCAGGTGTACAACGTCTTCATAGACAACCTTGATGAGCGACTGCCCCGCATCGCTTTCTTTGCCACAAGAACCATCCGGGCAGGCGAGGAGCTCACCTTTGATTACAACATGCAAGGTGGGGGTGGCAAGGGACTGGGGGCAGGGGCATACAGTGACATGGGACACGAGGACCCCTCCCCAAGGAGCTTTAAGATGCTTTTCCTGACTCCCAGTCTCCCATATGGATTCCTGGACCTCTGCCTACCTCATGGGGTTCCCCTCATTTCCAACCCCTGGACCCCAACCCTGAGACACTCATACAGACTTCTCCCAAAGACTCCTGGGGAAGATGTTTGGCTTGAGAGTTAAGATGCTCCTCCTGACTCATCTGAATCTCCCAGTCACCCAACCCTCCCCACTCCTAATCCCCTCGGCCTTGCTCATTCCAAGCATCTGGACACTCTTGGGGTCTCCAACCAGTCCCCTTCTTGACAAACTAGCCACCTTGGAGACACTCAGGGGTGGGGGGAGATCTTTGACAGGAGAGTTCAGATGCCCCTCTGGACATCTTAGGTGACTATTCCTGACTTTTGTCTGACACAGCCCCTCCCTGTGACAGCCCCCTGCCTCCCTCCAAAACCCCCACCCCTAGCCATCTTCCTAACACTCCCAACACCCTGTCCCCCACCAGTGCTGAGCCCAGACCACCAACCCCACAATGCCCAGATGACCCAAATCCCTGATTTGCTCCCAGCACCCAAGATTCCTGGGTCTTAGGATGAAAAGGGCAGCGGGACAGTTCACCTTGGCCTTCTAACAAGTCCCCTCCCCCCTGCCCTCCCTGGATGTGACTCCACAGTGGATCCCGTGGACATGGAGAGCACTCGCATGGACTCCAACTTTGGCCTGGCCGGGCTCCCTGGCTCCCCCAAGAAGCGTGTCCGTATTGAGTGCAAGTGTGGGACAGAATCCTGCCGCAAATACCTCTTCTAGCCCTTTGAAGTCTGAGGCCGGACTGACAGTGGGGGCCTAAAGCCACCCACCCCACCTACCTACCGCTGCCCTCCTGTTGAGGAACAACTGCCTGGGCCTCCTGCCTGCCTCTACCTGCCCCCCCCCATGCTTGGGGCTGTGGGCTGGCAGTGAGGACTGACTCCAGGAGCCACCTTTCCCCATCCCAGCCCCATCTGTGGGTTGCACTTACAAACCCCCACCCACCGTCAGAAGTAATTTTGGAACACCAGGATATTTTGCAGTTGAGAATCACGGCCTATCAAGGATATCCAAGGGGTGAGCCCCAGCCCGGCCCCAGAATATAATTGTTTTGTTTTTGCACCTGCTTCTGCCTGGAACTTGGAGGTCTGTCGCAGGCTCTCTCCCTACTGCCCCAAGGGTGTGGGGAAGCAGCCCCAGGGCAGGCGGACATCAGAGCCCAGACTTCCCAGCCCAGATGTTCCCCCCACCACAGGAACTTTGTGCTTGTGACGGAAAGGGGATCTCCTGGGCTGGGGCTGCGCCTGGTTTCTGCTTATGCTCCCGTACCGGCTCGTGTTGGGCCCAAGAGTCCTAGGGTCTTTTTCAGGGTTGCACAGCTGAGGCATGGACGCTCCTATGCCACTAGAAGAGAAGTGGGTGCTCATGGTCCGCTGACAAGTGAGAGGAAGGCAGTGTGCAGACTCTGCCAGCCCTTCAGGTGGGCTGGGTCTGAACTCTGCCTTGGGAGTGCGTATAGAAAGGCGCCCAGAGGTCTCGAGGGCGTGGAGGGTGCTGGGAACCCTGACCTGGGGCCTGATGACTGCTGGGCCTACTTAGAGCTGGAAGCAAGACCTAGCTAGGCTGTAGATAGCACTTAGGACAATAATGTGCATTGATGGGGTGTTGATGAGGTGCCAGGCACTGGGCAGAGCACCTGATCCGTGTGGATTGTCTCAGGGAAGCCTTGGAAACTATGGAGGTGGACCCCAGGAAAGGGTGCATGTGGCAGAAGGCAGAGTGCAGGCCGAGAATGGGGGCGGGGCAGGCATGGTTTACCCGTGAGGGTACAGTGAGCTGAGAGGGAAGCTTCTGCTGCCTGCCAGCCCCAGCCCACCGCCCTCTGCACTCCCCTTCGGTCCGCCGGCCTCAAAAGTGACCTGCCCGCAAACGTACAGAAGGCAAAGGCTCTGATGGCTGCCTTGCCCCCTTGCTTCCCCCGTGAGGTCTTCTCTAGGAAGCCTTCCCTGACTACCTGTGCTCAGAGTGCCCCTACGTGAGACTGTGTGCCCTGCCACCAGATGCCAGGTCTGTGTGTCCGTCTGTGTGTCCCGTCTGTGTCCGTGCTTCCTGCCCCCCAGACTGACCTTCAGGCATGGACTGAATCGGATTCTTCTGTTGTATATCCCTTGGCCCTACCCAGCCTGGGGTGGGCATCAATAAAACAAATCATGATTGAACGAAGCAAGGTGTGAGGACTGAAGGCCTTGTGTACGTGGGGGTGGGGGGCCTGGGGATATTTTCCTCAGACTGCATCCATCTGATGGGACGCTCCCCACAGGGTGCCACTCGCCCCGTCAGCCATGTACCGGGTGACCTAAAATAAGCTTGCCTCTTAAATTTTAAAATGCACTGTAAGAGTGAACTAAATCCACTGTTGTTTAAATGGACAATTCTCACTTGCCACAAACATGACTAAAAGACAGACCTGGAAATACAGAAACAGGATATAATTTGAGCTGGACCCTCCCTGCTCTTCCAGGCTTTGAACCCAGAGCCTGCCTACTGCATTCATAGAGAAAAGTCTGCGCGTGCTGGGGGAAACTTTTTCTGCGGATATTTATTGAGTGCCTGTATGTGCCAGGGTAGAAAACCGGGAACAGAGATGACATTCCTGATAAACTGTTTTCATCACCCCTCAGTCGGGAATGTGAGCCAGTGCCCTTTGTTCAGAGGCCTCACATGCTGTGTGAAAGAGATACCTAACTATTTTGAAGACCTCACACACAGGTGACAGAATCCTAAATGGCTCAGAGATCTCGCAGGGCACCTAGGACACAGGCCTCCGCACAGCTCATAGACCTTATTATGCCCAGATACTGATCCTAGACCTCCCGACCCCTCACACCCTGGGTTATCTGTCTCCAAGAAGCTCAGAGAGCTTGCGTCTAGACACAGGCCCCCAGTAACTCAACAAACTGCACTGGAACTATGGGGCACTGGCTCCCACAGAGCTCCAAGACCTCAGATGCCACCATGCACACTAGGATTCAGACCCCAAATGTGTCAGAGAACAAGCGTTCTGGGGTAGAGATGCACAACCCTCTCACAGACCTCACAACTTGGGATACCGTGACCCAAGCTATGTGGAAACTTCACACCCTGATTTGTCAATTCCCAAACTCTTTTTGGAGACCTCCCATACTGGGGCAGCACCCCCAAAGTGGAGATGCGACACCCTGGTCACAGATGGCCCAAACACCGAGACCTCATACTCTGGGCACAGATCCCTAAATGATTCTGAAACCCTGGATACAGACACCCCCCCCAACTGCTCAGAGACACCCTGGAAGGTAGAGATAGAGCACTACATATCCCAGAGACTTCTCCCTAGAACAGAGACATCCTAGGAAAAGACTGCCAAACCTCAGAGACCTCACACTTTGTAACCCACATCCCCCCAAGAGCTCAGAGACCTGAAAATCTGATTACAGACCCCCCACAAAGCTTCACAACCAGGGATAAAGAAAGACCCACCAATCTCCCAAGAGAACTTCGAAACTGGGATAAGGATGGATGGACAGTTCAGAGACCTCCCCCCTACCCTCTTCTCAGACCACTAGACCACTTAGACCTCATACTGCGAACACAAGAGAGCCCTGAAATCACATACACTGGAACACAGGCCCTAAACCAGTTCAGAGATCTCGCACCCTTGATACATATTCCTGTTCAGAGATGTCCTGTCACGTTCTGGATGCAGATTTCCCCAAAATAACTCAGAGCCTTCATACACGGAGATGGATCCCCAAACAGCTCAGAGGCCTTCCACTCTGGCTCCCAGAAAAGCTCAGAGACCAGAAAATCTGGATACAAATCCTCTACATACCTCAGAGACTTCACAGCCTGTAATACAGACCCCCAGTGACTCTGAGATCACATATCCTGGACACAGACACCAAATGACTTAGAAACCTATCCTAGGTTCACGTCCCCAAACAGCTCAGAATCTTCACACTCTCAACAGACCTCCAGATGATTCAGAAATATCATGCATACCCTGAAACTCAGACCCCTAAACCATTTCTGGAACTCCCACTTTGTACTTCTATCCAGAAAGATTTCAGACATCTGCCGCTCAATGGACACAGATCACCAGAGAGCATAGAAACCTCGCGTTCTGTTCAAAGTCCGCCACAAACAGAGGAGAGACCTAGTAACCGAGACACAGACCTGCAACAGTGTAGGGATGTCACATTGTGGACACAGGCTCTCAAACAACCCAGAGAATTTCTAACCCAGGAGACAGACACAAAAGGAGCTCAGAGACAGCACACCCTGGCGACATATGCCCACACAGCTCGACACCTCCCATTATGGGACAGAAGACCTCAAAGAGTTCATTAACCTCACAGTCTGGAAAACAGACCCACAAACAGGCCAGAGACCTCACCTATCAGACATGCAATGCCAAAATGCTCAGCGTTAACAAACATTACACTCTAGGACACGAATGCACCCCCACACCCAGCTCAGAGACATAACAGCCTGGACAAAGACCCCCCCACCCAGTACCCATTAGTAACAGAACCCCAAACCACTCAAGAGACCTCAAACCCTGGAAACAGACCCCTGGTAAGTCAGAGACCTCATACCCTGGGACTGAGACTCTCTCAACAGGAGCTACCTCACCCTTGGAAACAGGGATCTCAACACCCAGGGATGTTGATCTCACACTCTGGGACACAGAGGTTAAGCACCTCAGAGGCCTGAGAAAGTATAAAAACATCAGTAGAAAGACCTCAGACTTGACACAGACCCTGAAACTGCTCCAAAAAGGCATACCTGGGGACAAATCCACATCATAGAGAACTCATTCCCTGGGACATGGGCTCAAGACAGGAGTGGGGGTGGGGGACACCCTGAGCCGAGTCACTCAAACACATCCCAGTTCTCCTATGAGGGTCACAGAGCCCAAACAGCTCAGCCACCTCATACCTGAAAGGAGGGACTTCTAAGTAGCTCAGAGACACCGTACCCTGCACAGACCAGCACAGAGTTTAGAGATTTCACACACCGAATAAAGACCTCCAAACAGTGCAGAAAACTCACTAACTGTTGGCACCCCTCTGCCCCGAGTTGAAAGCTCAGAGACTGAGGGGCGCCTGGGTGGCTTAGTCGGTTAAGCGTCCGACTTTCGCTTGGGTCATGATCTCACGGTTCGTGGGTTCGAGCCCCGCGTCAGGCTCTGTGCTGGCAGCTTGCTCAGAGCCTGGAGCCTGCTCTGGATTCTGTGACTCCCTCTCTCTCTGACCCTCCCCTGCTCATGCTGTCTCTCTCTCTCTCCTAAAAAGAAATAAAACATAAAAAAAAAAAAAAAAAAGAAAGAAAGCTCAGAGACTGTGACCCTGGAATAAATCCTTAATGAGTCAGATGTACCACACTCGGGAACTGAGACAACCCAAAAGGAGGAGATTTCACACCTGAAAATATCCCCCAAACACATGAAGAAACTGTCAAGCAGAAAGAGCTCAGGGACCACATAACTCTAGAACACAGGGGCAGACAGCTCAGAGATCATACAGTGTAGACATAGTCACCCAAAAGGCTCAGTGAACTCACCCTTGGAATGTAGACCAGAAAAAGCTCAGAACCCTCAGATCTAGGATTCAGAAATCCTTCTGAGACTTAGGGTATATACCCCAAAATACGATTCAGAGAATATGCGAGATGCAGAGCATCAAAGCATTCAGAGACCTCGAATCGTGGGACACATACACCTAGACAGATCAAGGACCTCACACCCTGGATGTACACACAGGACAGCTCAGAGGATTTAAATTCTAGGAAATACGCACCCCAAAAGAACAGACCTCACATCCTGTGACATACTCACAGAAAGATCAAAATCACACAAACGGAGATAGACACCCATGACTATGTCAGGGCCATGTCCAGGGACCCACAAACGGGTCACAGACCTCAATCCCTGCAACATACACACATAAAAATAACAGATACCTCACATGCCAGGACACATACCTACAAACAGTTCAGAGCACTCATATCCTGTGGAATAAACCAAAGAATCGATCAGGGCCCTCATATATTGGGACTTACACCCACATAGAGATCAGAGACTCAAATCCTGGGACATAAACCCAAAACACCTCAGAGACCTTACATGCTGAGACAAAGAAAAGTCGAAACCTGACGACCTGAGACACAGAGCCCCAAACAGATCAGACACCACATGCTGTTGACACACATACCAAGAATGTCTCACATCCTGAGACATACAACCATTAAGGGCTCAGACAACTCTTTTTTTAAGGTTTATTTTATTTTTGAGAGAGAGAGAGAGAGACAAAGCATGAGCAGGGGAGGGGAGAGAGAGGGAGACACAGAATCGGAAGCAGGCTCCAGGTTCCGAGCTGTCAGTCAGCACAGAGCCCAACGTGGGGCTCGAACTCACGAACCATGAGATTATGACCTGAGCCGAAGTCGGACGCTTAACCGACTGAGCCCCCTAGGCGGCCTGGGATCTGACAACCCTTATCTTGATGTACACCCACAAACAAATCTGACATCTACGACACGGACCCTCAGGGACTTCACACCCTCGGACAGATACCCACAGACAGGTGATAACCCTTGCAAGTTGGAAATACACACAGAACTAGATGAAAGACTGCTCATCCTGTGACATAAATCCAAAAAGTGGCCAGAGAACTCATGTCTTAGGACATATATTCACAGTCATAACAGACTTCAGATCCTAAGACACGCCCGCAAAACATTGGAGAGCACACACCATGGGATGTACACCCACAAAGAGACCAGATACTAGCCGCTGGGGCATGCGTGGAAAAAGAGCAGAGAGATGTACATTCTAGGGAATACACTAAGATACCCTCGGAAATGGATCTACAAGAAGGCTGGAGACCTCAAGTGTTTGACAATACACCTAAACAGATCAGAGACCTCACCTCCCAGGATCCAGAGTGACAAAATGTTCACAGACCTCATATGGTGAGAGGCACAAAAACAGATCAGAAACCTCACATCCTAGGACACACACCCTCAAGTAGTTTACAGACATAAAGTCCTGCAAAATGTACTCACAGACCATTTACACAGCATGCATCCTGCAACACACACAACAACCAAATCTGAGAGCTCATATCTGGGACTATGTACCCACCAAGAAAATACACGTAACAGATCCTGAGACACACACTCAG